TAGACACCATCCAGTGCAACTCTCCTGCTAAAGCAGGATCCTGTGGAGCACATTCCTGGTACTGCACCCAGGCAGGTCTCCAGAGAAGGAGACTCCACAACCTCCCTGGGCAGGTAGGGTTCCCTCCCTCCTCCTCTTGTGTGTAAATCTGACTGAAATAAATGAGATTTAGGCAAATGCTTACCAGCTGCATCCAACAGAGATGCTTTTTTGAATCAGACTCTTCATCAAAAAACGTCAATTAGATGTATTTCCTTCCCAAAATTGCTTCCTGTGAGGTTAATTTCATCATCTGTGAGATGTTTGAGCACATTAGTGACAAGACTACATAGCCACCTGGGCAGGTGGAGTGCTGAACCTCTCAGACTTCAGTTCTGCCACCAGTGTTCATGACAAATAGTTGGTTTTTTTTTTCCTCTGAAAAGACCTCCAGCTACTTCAGCCAGGCTGCTGCTGAATGCAGGACTGCTCCTCATGAGAATGATGACAGACTCCTGTCTTCAGCTCCTTCACACCAGGACTTTACAGACAACTGAGAAGACCAGAGTCATGCCAGCATCAGAGGCCCTACAGGAACACACAGTGGGTGCTCCACCTCCTCACCTGCACAGAAAAAAAAAAATCACATGCCTTTGGCAGAAAATAATCCCATGCAGTCAAATACAAGAGCAAGATGGGGTAAAATTCAGACAAATTAAATAGATAGATCAGATTCCAGCACGCCCAGAAGGTCACTCCATGCAGGGTCTGCCAGAGGGAAGGTGGGAGCAGCATTGCTCCTCCAGGGAGGGTGGCAAGCTATCAGCCTCTTGTCAATTAATCCTGGGGAGATGGAGGTGGTGGAGAACACCCTGCCAATGGTAAATGTGGTGATGGGGCATTGGGGGCATATATATGCATCATTAGTCATCCACAAGAATTTTGTTTTTGTAACCTCTGCATTTTTATCTGTCACTTCGAGCAATAAATATGCACTCCCGCCAGTGATTTGACATTACACTTGCTTTGGATGGTTGCCTTTCCCAAATATTAATAGTAACTCATTGTGGACACAGCATTGGTATTTAGTTAGATCAGACCAGCTTCTTTTAAAAAACAACTTTTCGTATAAAGAGAACAGATGTTTTTAATTTACACAAAGAACAAAAACAAAGTTCTATTGTGGGGTTGCAGTGAACACAAATATCACAGGCACACAGAAATTAACACCAGTAGGAAATTAAAAAAAAATAATAATAAATAAAATGAGAAGCCCATCATTATACAGGTCTGCTTATTTGTGCTTTTTCCACCACTTGAATGATTTAGTGGCATGCAACGATAGCAAGCAGTGCTTTTTGGAATTCATATGAATTTGAGTGTGGCATGTTTCAAAGATAAAAATGGCATAAACACAAGGACACTTTCTAAACACACATGATACAGACAATAATAATAATAATTTTATAATAACAAACAAGGAATGTAAACACTCACAGTCCATAGCATAAGCCAACTACTGGCTCATGGGGGTAGGAAGAAACTACCTCTTGGAGCTGATTATTCTATAGCTGTTCCTTACAGGGAGTATTTCCCTTTGCACCACCTGCACACAAGAGTAAGGCCTCAGCCCTCTGAAACACGGTGTGTGGATACAAAACCTGACAGAGCATTTCAGTTGCATCAGGTGGGGTTATCTTGTGGCATGGGATGAAGTTAAACCCCAGCTCCCCCCATACTCTCATTTCCCTGGGGATGTTAAAGCCCTTTGACTGCGCTTACAAGCTCCTGCAGGTGGGAGCAGAGCTCAGGCACTGAGTGTCCATGCCAAGGTGACCAAACCCAGAACAGGAGTGTTACCCTGCAGCTGGAAGTCACTTGCAACTCCCTGTCTCACAGACACACCCCCTGAGGAAATATTTCTCAGAGATAAAGACTGGCACTGTTCTCATTTCTCATCTGCTGGACACACAACCTGCATACCCAATTCTCACTTTACTACAAGGCATAGCTCTTAGCATGAAGAAATATCTCCTCTAGCATCTGCTTCTTGAAAATTGCCTAGTGACTAGCCAAGTGTCACATCTCAGGTCACCTTCTTGGGCAGGTATTTCTGGATTTAGGAATACTGACAAACCAATATTTCTACCTCTATTTCAGATTTACCAGCTCAGCAGCTTCAAGAGGAGAGCAGGGATTCTTTATCTTGGCTTCTTCCAACCCTATATAAGCAAAGGTTCTGCTTTTGGTACATTAATAACAGACTTTGCCCCCTTTTCTTTCCCATTGTTCATTAGTTATTTTTATCCAATAATGGGTGCCATTTTACTCTGTCCCACACTCAGACTAAGCATCAAACTATAAGGCTTACTTAAGATCATCACACGGACCCTAGTGAAAATTAAATAAATAAATAAACCCTTCCTTGAGTTTTAACCAGTTGGGAAAATAAGGTTGTAATTAGAAGACTTGGGGCAGAAAAATGGGAAAGCCTTTCTCTGTAGCATTCAGGTAAGTTGGGGATTTCAGTGCTGCAGAACAACAGAAAGACAAACACGATAACTCAAAGGGCTGGAGCCTTTTTCTACAGCTCAAAGCCTCACTGGGAGGGGTGCTGTGTGCTTGCTGCTCCCAGTGGCCAGTTTTAAACTTTCAGCCACATTATATAATACAAAAACCAGTTCCAAACCCATGCAGGAAAAAAAAAAAGAGAGAAACCCAACATGACACTCATACGGTACCTTTCAGCTGGAAAGAACCCAAGGCATGAATCATCTTACCCACCACAGAATGCCACCACCTCAATGTTGAAATGCAGCAGCTGTTTGTTACCCTACAAGAACATTGAGATGGGTGCTCCCGTGCAGGCAAAACAGCGAGGAAAACCGAGTAGACAAATCCAATAACCTGGAATGCACAAGCTTATCCTCCTTACCTTTATAATGAGGACCAGAGGGACTTTAGGGACCACAAGCAGCCGAGGCTTCCAGCCGCCCACTGCTAACAATGTTTCCGCAGCACTTAAGTGATCCTTGGAAGCCAAAAGCACTTGACCTGGGCTTGGTTTGCTTTGCTTGGTTGACACGAAGGCCAAGAGTTGGCTATTGCACGCTGACCACAATTACTATGTCACATGCAAAGTCATTTCTGCCACATTTAGAACCGTGCTTGATGCCAGAACCAGAGTAATCGTGATGCTCGGAGTTGTCCAAAGATCTGGAAATGTGTCTCCCCGTTGCTTGTGCAAAGAAGGCAGCTAATTGCAGTCGTGTACCTGTCCTGATGGTTGGCTTTTCATTAATAAATTGCAACCACACTCTCTCAAACATGGCTCCCTCAGACCTTGACTCTCAGTATCTTGGAGAGATGCTACAAGGCTCCTGGAAGTGGCTTATCAAAATTGGAACCGTTTGCTATCCAAATATACTGAAGTTTTCACTCAAAATTCAAAATCTCCTTGTTACACCACACTCATCACTGTGGTATCTGAGCACCGCCACTTCCAGCTGAATTCCAGCCCCAGCTGGATTCAATGAAGAGTCACTCTGAGCCTGGGGACACAGAGTTAACACAGGCCAGGAACACGCAGCAAGTCCTGCCTGGGCTCATGAGAAGTTTGTTGCCAAAGCTGGACTTCAGCTCCCGCTGAATAAGAAGGGGTCTTGTGGCCAAAGAACATTAAATAGGAGATTGCTAAAGCCCCAGGGCTTCACTCCAGAGCGCTCACACAAGTGTTGCCACCAGCTCCTGGCTGTGTAGAGTGTGTCTGGCAGGGCAGTGGTGTGGGCTCTGCTGTTACCACAGAGGTCCTCTGAGAGAGGGGACAGAGGAGGAAATGGCACTGATTGCACTGTGTTCTGTGAGTGGCTGTGACCACTGGCTTTTGTTTGTCCTGAGGCAATGTGAAGTATATGTAAAAACAATCTCATTTCTACAGCACAGCTCTGCCCATGGATGTGAACCAAAGTAAGGTAACACCCGTTGGGTAACACCTGAAAACAGGGACCAAAAGGAAGTTGATCCCTGGGTTTTAATGGCTAAAATGTCAACCTAAATGTCCTGTACAACTCACCTAACCATAGCCCATCCATGCCAAACAAGCTGTACTTTCAGCTCACCCAACCTCTCAGCCTTTCTCCTTCCTGGGCCACTCGAAATCCCAGAGCCACAACTCCCACCAGGTGCAACCACTTTCCCTTCCCAGGCAATATGTTTGGCAATTTAAAGACCTGCACATGGTCTGACTGATCCAGAGATATCACAGCACTTCTAAAAACAAGATGTTTTCACCAAAACAGTCTCCAATAATCAAACAAATCAAAGGGCAACCTAACTGGATCCACAAAAGCAAAATGTGCAGCTGCCAAAGAACTGCTGTTATCTCTGGCATGGCTGGGTCACTGGGACATTTCACAGAAACAAAAATGTATTTCCTGTGTAGACCCAATTAAAATAACTCCAGGGAAATGTTTCATGGGCTCTGAAGACCTGAAGTTGAAGCTACCCAACTGGCTTGTAAGAAATGAGATTACTTCCCAGGGGCTGATGGAAAGCACTGAGCACCCTCTGCTGCAGGCACTAAAATGAGGATCAGCAGCAGTATCTGACCTCGCCAAGACCAGGCAGAAGGGTGCTGTGCCCTGCCAGCCAGAGGGAGGTTGCCTCTTGCTGCCAGGACCTCAGATAACGTTGGAGAGCACTGCAGGCTTCACCCCAGGCTTCCCTCTGCAAAAGAAGCAGATTGAGATACAAGGTCTGGAGAAGACAGCACAATCTCTCTGTTCTGAAAGGTCAGCTCTACCTTTCCTCCTGGGTCTGGCCAAGATCACTCTCCACAGCTGGGTCAGATTTACTTTACTTGGCTGCTCATGCACTGGTCTCTGGGGACAGATGGAGGCCGTGGGTTACTGGCTATGCAGGTAATCAGACTTTGGTTGCTGCCTTGGTTGCATTTTTCATCTTGAGCTTTTTTTCCTCTGTTCATCCCATCATTTGTTCGTGTCCTTATACTGCAGGATCTGGCTGCTTTTCTTGCTGTTCTGGCTGGGACAAGGGAGGCAGGTGGCTCCCCCAGGTTGGTGAAACATGATAAAAGGATAGTGGGGAGAGGCAAGGATGAGAGCTCTTGTTATTTTGCTTGTAACAAGATGTGCCTTTTCTCTGCCTTCCAGTCTCACTTGCTCATCTGCTCTATATGTGCTTCCACCAGGTTTTATAGAGAGCAGTTGCCGCTCCAGGATTTTTTGGATGAAACTGAATAAACTCTTGCTCCAGGGAAAGTTCTTCCAGCTGGAAATCAATGGTGAGTCACAAGTGGCTGCCCTGAGTACCATGAAGCTGGGGAATCACCTAAGTGATCACAGTGTGATCTGGACGATGCTGTCATCTACACAATAATTGGTAACTGATCCCAAGAAGCTTGCAGAACATCCTTGTAAATAGTCCTGGCCTCCCACACCACGGGTTGTCCAATATCTTTACAGATGAGAAAAGCTTCTATCTACAGTCACAGTTCCCTTTGCCCCTTACAGCTAATATGCTGGGGATGGGAGAAAGGATGGTCTGAGGAGGAAGGGCTGACGTTTGTCTTCCATTCTTGCCTCTGCTGAGCCATTACACATGTCTAGTGAGGACAGAAAGGTGGCACTGCAGCTTGGATATGTCCTGGGCAGCACAAATTACATCAGCAATGTAGGCTGGGTAATAATACCCAGAAAACACACTCTCAACAGGGGCTGAGTGAGTGCTGCAGCAATTACAGGCGTTGGGTTTTTTTCAATTATTATTTCTTTTTTATTTAACATTGCAGTGGCAGTTAAATACCCTATTTCATATTGAAAGAAGGGTTTTCATTTTGCTGAGGAAAACAAAAATCTACTTAACCAAAATGAAAACCAGAAAACGTTCGCAGCAGATTGAACAAAGCATGTGATTTCACCCCAAACCAGATTTCTTTCTGTTGAGATCAGCCCGCTTTTTTTCTGGATTTGGGTTTTTTTTCTGTTGATTTGGAGGCAGAACTGAAAAAGTCAAGCACAGCAAGGGTGTGAGGAGAAGTGATAGCATTTGTGAGAGCAACTGATATCGCTGGAAAAAACAGGCCAGGCTTCAGGCATGAAAAGGTTGTTTGTTTCTTCCAGCTCTATCAGCTGGTTTCATAAAAGCTCTTCCTTCTTCTTCCAAAATTCTTCTAGCTTATCTCCTTAGTCTATCCTGGCTGCAAGAAAACATCTACTGAAGCAGCAGTCATTAGTACTGTTCGAAATATAAAGATGACAGACAAATCAAGAAAGTACAATAGCAGCTAGTTAAACCCTATCTATTTGTACAAATTCTTGTGTCTAACCCAAGACTGAAATAGTCCCTTAATCAGAGTGCAGATAATTAACAGAATATGATGTTATTAACTAAGCACTAAGAGCTGAGAGCAGCTCCCATCGTGCCTGTTGCTTGGCTCCCCCATAGGTTTAACAGCACCCAGCACCTTGCCAAGCAGAGGTGAGCAGCAAACCTGCCCAATTTGTAAAAGTCCCATCCAGAATAGGTCCGTGACTTCAGCCTTTGACTGAAGCAAGCAGCAGGTTATCACAGCTTCAGGATTTTTAGGAATTGTTGGGCTTGATAGCCCCTAAGTCTTTTCTAGGGAGTAAAATCAGGGAGGGAGAAATGTATGTGATGCCTCAGAGAAACTCCACAATAGTACTTCATGGTGGCTGTGGCACAAGCTTCTGGATACATAGAAATGGGCATTAAAATGAACATGTGGGTGAGCTTGAGACATGCCAGACTGCCTCATGCACTCTAACCCATCCCAGCACAGCTTCCCAGCTCCTTAAAAGCACATGTTGCTGGAGAACACCCAACCCAGCTGGACCTCTTTCCAGAGGAGACCTGCCTGAGGGGTCACAACTTGTCCTGAGCTTTCCAACCCATGCATCATTCCATTTTTTTCGGTAGATCCTTACGCTGGCCCCGTTCTGCTGGATGAGAAACTTGCATCTCGTTGTGGCTACGTCCTGTCAGAAGACGTGTGGGGCAACCCCGTGTTCCGAGCATCGGTGCTCGGCTGCCACGTGGCCAACGAGGTAAGACCCAGCTGGAAAACACTTCAGGAAGCACATCCTCTCCAAAAGGATCATTGGGATATCGTATGGCATCTCAGTGTGTCGTGGTTCCTTGTCTCTCTCCTGCCTGGCTTGCCATTAATGTCGTGGTTTGGGCCCAACAGGACAGCAAAGGAGCAGCCCCATGGCCCCTCACTCAACTCCCCTCACACACACTCTGGGATGAGGACAAAGCTCCTGGGTTGAGACAAAAGCACAAGGAGGGATCTTCACCCATTAAGGTCCCAGGCAAAACAGACTCAACTTGGGGAAAAATAATAATTTAATTTCACTGATCAAACCCACACAGGACACAGACACACCCAGAGCAGGGCTCACACATGTTACCCCACCCCTCCCTTCTTCCCAGTCCCAAATCCCTTTGTTCCCGGTTTCTCTCCCTCCTTCCCCCCAACACAGGGGATGGGGTTTAGAGTCAGCTCACAAGCTGGTGGTTCCTGCTGCTCCTTCCTCCTCAGGAAGAAGGATTCCTCACAGTCCTGCCCTGCTTCCCCACAGGGTCCCTCCCATGGCAGATCCTCCACCAACCTCTCCTCCATGAGTCCTTCCCACCGTGGCCAGTTCACCCCTCCTGGCACCTTCAGGGAATGTCCCACCCCCCATGGATGCAGGGGCACAGCTGCCATCTCGCCATGGGCTGCAGGGAAACTACTGCTTGGGCACCTTCTGCCCCTTCCTCCTCACCAACCACCCTCTGCCTCTCCAGCTCAGCTCTTCTCCTCCAAGCCCTTCTCTGCTTAGATGTAATATCAGTTCTTCCATATGTCAATGGCAGAGGTGCATCTATTGTCCCTCTAATGGCTCTTTGGCTGGGTTTGGGGCAGGGGGAGCTTCTCACCGGAGCCACCCCCGGGGCCCTTCCCCTGATACCAAAAAACCCACCAAACCAGAAGACAGTGGCACGTTTTGAGAACTCAACAGTGACCTCAAGGAGTCAGTGCTGACGGTGTGTAGGAATGGGCAGGCAATGGCTCTCCAGGATGAGGTTTGTGCAGCGTGACTGGCATGGGATTTCCTCTCTCCATGAAATGACACTTAGCCTAGTGCTGCTGACCAGCTGCCAGTTCTCAAGCACATCCTTCTAACTGCTGATTTGCCAGCCAGTTTCTTGAAAGCCTCTCTGGAAAGAAGTAGGCATCTGCTTCAAAAAGCAACATTTGCAGAGTGATTCTGGCAGACCATTTCCTGGCTTAATTCGTGTGGTAATGTGCCTGTTAACACATGCCTAGGGACCTAGATCACACACATCTATTAGACCCAGATTTGTATCACATAACTTGAGCCATCTAAAAGATAATGTCTAGTCTAAACTAGCTGTTTAGGCTTCCACAATAGTCACTGCACAGAAACTGGCATCTCTGGAAGGTGATTCACCCCTTCCTAAAATTTGTGCGAAAGTTTAGCCTGGATTTCCAATTTCTGTATGTTAGTTGAGATGCAGTTTGCCTGGAAACAGAGCATATCAGAGTAGAAACTTTGCTGCTTGTCCATGTTTAGTCTGGTTGCCTGGAAGCCCCACATAAAAAAAAAAATAAGGTAAAACTTCATGGGCAGGGGTTATGCTAATAAGAACGGGGGGTGAATGGTGTGCTGTGCCATGACCTGGATTTCCAGACTGGAAATTTCTCTGGAAAGGTATTGCCTTTTTCTGTAGAAAAAAAAAAATAATCTACATCCATGTCAGATGGAAGCACAGCTCATGGATTCACTTGTGGCTCCTGGAAAGCTGAAGGACCAAGAGGAGCTCTTGGCGAAGCTAGTCAAGACAGACACATACCAGCACTTGTAAGACAGATCTGAGCTACCTACAGCCAACGAAAAGCTCTGGCACTTTCTCTCCATGAGGAGGCACGTAACAGTCATGAATGGGAGGAAGGTGAACCCCATGGTGAGGCAGGTCAGATCTTCCCCTGACTAAGTTGTTCCTTAATACTGTGGCCAGAGCAGTGCTGAGCTGTGATCAGAGGCAGAGGCTGAAAGTGCTGAGGCAACATCTTTGGCTCAGAAAGCCCTTGCACACAAGCAACTTAAGGAGGGTGGTCTGCTGGAGGAACCATCACTACAGCTCTCAACCTGTCCTCCTCTTTATAAAACACTGTCAGAAGCAGGACACTGGGCTAGTCAGTCCCATGCAGCCACCCCCTGGACCTTCCACACTCTCTGCTCAAATGCCTGTTTTTCTTCCCAGGCAGATGAGCTGTTTTCACTGACTGTGAACATCAAGGTCTCTTCATTTTCAAGCATGAGGGCAGCTGTCACCTACACCTACCCCATGTACTGCTCCTACCCTTCGTGGGCTTCAAGAGAAATTGTATGTGAAGAAAACTACATGGAGGTAAAAGCTTCCCCACTGAAAGCAAAGCTACACCCAAACTCCCTACCGGGCACAACAACCTTCACAAATTCCTGTCAGAAGGTGATTTCACACTGTGAACCAGGGATAATAGCAGTCTGTGGATATTCAGCAGAGGGTCTAACTGCAGATGCTGATTAGGAACACATTTACATACCATGAGTATTCTCCATGCAGTGAAATTCAGTTAACTGTACAGATGATGTAGGTCAAGCCACTGCAAGAAAACCTGTAGTCAGGCAGGGCACCCCTGCTGAGCTCATCAGGGTACCTTTATGTTGCAAGGTGCTGCAGCATCTGTGAGAATGTCATCCTTATAACTCAAATAATTAAAGTCTGCAGAGCTGCACCCCTCCTGTGTCACACAACTCACAGGATGTCATCGTGAGACAGAACCTGCCTCTGGCTGGGTGGTACAGTTTGGTTGTCCAGCCTGCTACCAGCATCTACACACCACTGTAGATTTAAGACCCTGAACAAAACTCCCTGTCTCTTTGTATGCACCTACAATAGGCAGCATGAAGAAAGCATATTTCTCCTGCTAGGACTTGAGGCTGTGCAGCCAGGTCTGGATGTTGCAACACACTTCAACCGTGGTACAGGTGTCTGGGGCAAACACTGACTCCAAACTCAGCATCCAGAACCCACCTCACTGCAGCACAGGCTGGCAAGGTTTACACCAGAGCATCTGCCTCAGGTAGTGAGGATCCTGTAGTTTCAGGTGTTCAGCCTGCATGGGAAGGGGGACACAGCCTGGTCAAAGCCAATAGCTCCCTAAAACTACTGTGGAGAGAGCCAGATGCCCCTGAAGAGAGGGATCTTTAGAGATTTTCTAGTAGTTTACAGCTCACCAGATACAAACCAGGACTTTGGATTTACTTGGTTATACACAAAGTATTCCCCTGTACATGCACCCCCATAAATGTCACAGCTTTAACTTTCATTTTAATGCCACAGAAGTTGCCACCATCAAGAGCCCCTTTGGAAACACTCTAATAACCCCCAGTGAATGTAACTTGCTAAACCCTGACAGACACCAGAGATGAAATCTGAAAGCCATCTCTCCGCTCCCCGTGCCTGGTGAAGATTTGTTTGTTCCACAGATTCTCCTCTGTGTCCCCAGGTGTCAGTGAAGACAGATGTCCCTGCAGTTTCAAATGACTACACCGTGGCGTGGCTGTCTGCCCTGCCAGAGGTATGAAGAGGAGTCATTCCCAACAGTTCCTAGCCTGACTCTCCTGACTAGTCCCACGAGTCATCCTAGGGGCATAGCTCCATCTCAGAAAAAAAAAGGGACATGGCAATGATGCCATCAAGTACTGAAAAACCTCTCAAGTTCTCTTAGAGCTCTAGACTGCAAAAAGATGATTTAGGTGGGAGAACAGAGCCATGTGCTTGTTACTTAAGTGGAAACTGAGTTCAAGACAAACAAAGGTAGGTGGTTCTTCACACAACGGGTAGCGAATCTGTCAAACTCCTGCCAAAAGATGTTGGAGCTGCTAAAATCTTGCTTGATCTTGAGAGGAGACTGGAAAAGATGACTGAGGACATATCCATTAAGACACAGAAAATACAAAGAAGCTACAGATAGGTCAGGAGTCCCTAAGATGAGGCTGGAAAGTATTAGGAGGAAATACACAAGCTTGTCCTACTTTCCTCATGTCTTACTTGCTCCTTATGCCCATTTTTCCTTTTGACTCTCCTCCCATATGGTTATCAGTTCAGGACACTGTTCTAGAGCAGTACAGGCATTATATTTGACACAATATGGACACGTACTACAAAAGGCAGATTGTCATTTGGCCTCAGGGCTGCTCCAGCAATCCAGAGACACAAAGGCAATCATTTTATTAACAGCACAGGCATTTTGTCCAAGGGGATTTGTTCAAGGCCACCAGTCTAAGTTCCTTCCAGGGCTGCCATAAGACTATCTGTAAAAATACCTTAAAGAGTTATAGGGTTCCTTATATTTATATAAATCAAGGGTTTTTCTTGCCTGGGGTGAACTAGTAGTGTCCAGTTCCACTCCAGTTACTCCAGCTTCTAGTAGGAAAAAAGGTGCCACAATATCATCATTTTTAAGAGGCTCTGGTGGGCTTCCATCTGACACAGCTCCTCTCTCTCCTGCAGACTCAGAACGTCGCCTACCAGCTGTGGCAGCTGATGTTTGTTTCTCCCTCAGGGAGAAAGAGAATAACAGTAAGTGATGCAACAAAACTGGGCTACAGCTTCAACAACAGCCTGTCCTGGGTGTACCTGCGCGCGCCCTACTACAGCAACGAGTCTGCCCTCAGCGTGGTGAGTTCCTGCTCTCAACCAGACACAAACCTGTGCTGTTGCCACTGCCTCCCTCAAACATCAGCCCTTCTTTTTGTCCTGCATCCCAACAGGTCAGTGGTGTAAATATGAACATGGTGACTTCCACTTCCATGTACAGGCAGCGGTGGCTGCTTCTGCTGATTGACACAACAGTCTCCTGTCCTGTTGGTAAGGATTTCTTCCCTGTTCTCCAGAAATAACCACCTAAGACCTAGCAGAAAACACAGTCTCCCCATTTCCCCGTGACCTACTCTGTGAGAGAAGAGGTTTACAAGCTGTTCTCAGAGCAGCATGAGCTGAGGGTCCATGGCTTTAGTCCCAGACAAACACATTCCCTGCTGTGATGCTACAGGACTTGTGTTCCAGTGCAGCGTCATGCCTTGTCTCTGGTTTCTCAAGTCCCCCTGTTAGGTACAGGGAGCAGGAGACAAGTAAAACTGCTGCAGAAGGGCCAGGAAGCCTCCTGGGGACTAACCCCACAGTCTTGTCTCTCCACTGTCACATAACTCCATGCAGAGGATGGAGCTTTGCACCCTTAGGACTCATCTAGACCTTTTATCTGGAGAGACAGAGCTAACCTGGCTTTCTGCAGAGCAGTGGTGGCTGCATCTTCTATCTCTCACAGAGCAGTATTAATGTGATGGATTAATGCAGCAGGTTTTAAGTTGTCATGATCTTGGTGCCAATATTTCAAGGAGAAGGTCCAAACAGGAGGCTCTGTGCTCCGTTTCTTTTGCCAGTAAGGCAAAGCTCCCGGGACCAGGACAGGAGAGCAGGTAGCTGAGAAGCATGACTGTCAGTTCTTTGGGAAAAACTCTCACTGGTGATCACTGGTGATTCAAGTCTACTTGGAGTGCCAGGGTTTCTGTCACAGAACAGCAAGCAGTTGGCTAATACCCTACAAGGTCTTTCATTAGTGAAATTTGCAAAGGTAACCTGGTGAAGAGGAGCCCGAGTGAAGACTGACTGGTAATTAACCAGTCTTCTGGGACTTTCTCTCTACCTCAACAGATGGCATCAGTTTCACTGACACTACACTTACATGGACTGTGCCAAGAGTTATCCCCACACTAGTGGTCCAAGAATCCACTTTTATGTCTAAAAGCATTTTAATGGGAGTTGATGGTCGAGTCATAGCAAAACCTGAGGAAAAGAACTACTTCCTGGAGCACAACGAGACACACATCGGAATAACTATCCCCATTGGAGCAGAAGGAGGCAAGTTAAGGGTTAGTATGAGCCTCTCACACACTAACAAATCTGGGGGCCTGTTCTGTGGAAGATGTTTCTGAATCATGATCAGTCCAAATAGTGATTGGCTGCTGCTTAAAATTCTGTGATACGAGAAATATTGGAAGATCTAGATACTTCTCTGTGTTTTGAAAACACTCAGAAATGAAATATCTCTGGTTACAAAACATGACAGAAGCAAGAGACTGTCTTTTGTTAATAATCTGTAAGATACACTCATAACTTAAGAGTGAAGGACACTTGGGCACTGGAGTTCAATTGTCTTTGTTGTTGCATTAGGAAACTCATCCTGGTAAACTTCTGGTCTGGGTCAAGGAGTAGTTTCCTAGACAATTTCCAAACAGACAGCATGAGTTAGCATGGGACAGGTTCCCAGCATGTAGTTTGGGTGCAGCCACCTCCTTCGACATAGTATATTCCTTGTCAATCTATAATTTACAGGTACAGAGGCAGCATCAAAAGAAACATTCAGTAGAACAGAATAGAATGGTGTGGGTTGGAAGGCGCCTTTAAAGATCTAGTCCAACCCCCTGGCAATGGGCAGGAACATCTTTCACTAGATCAGATTGCTCAAAACTCCATCCAACCTGATCTGGGACATATAAAAAGCAGCTGGCAATATTCTCACAGGGCTCTTTACCAGTTCCATTTGTGAATTTGACACTGGTGTGATTTTCATTTATCCCCTTCAGAAGTTCACTTTTGTGTGCATCAGTGAACACTCACATCTCTATGTATATTGTAACATCCCACACACTTGGTCTGAAGAACTGGAAGTACTGACAAACTTTCAGAGTGAAATGGGGCAGAATGAGAGACATGACTGGTAGTCCAGGCATTGTAAAAACACCCTCCCAAACCTACTACTTCCTTTTTGAGAATCTCTGCAGTACTTGAGCCAAACATGAACCACACAAATGGGCCAAGCAAAAAAACCACACAGACAAGCTCCCCTAGCAAACTGCATCCCAAACTGTCCTGGAATACCATTTTCTCTTTCTAGTGTAAGAATATTAACCATATTCAGGTTAAATTCCACTATTGAGCTTTTGAGAATGAAGACTTAATGACAAATTTTACCCCCTAGAGCTCCATATCTGGTGGCGTTTATGGAGTAATTTACAGTATTGACTTGTTCTTGGAGCACACGTGGACAGATGCAGATTGGCAAGCCACGAAGTATACTGTCATCAAATCCATAATGACACCTTTCATGCCACAAATACCAACTGTTATCAACAGTAAGTCATTCCTCTCATTGAGCTTTACAATCTCGTGCTTTTGCTGTGTTACGTGTTACTCCATAGGAGAGCAAGCAGGCTGGGGAAGGGTCTAGAGGACAAGTCATACAAGGAGCAGCTGAGGGAACTGGGCTGAAGAAAAGGAGGCTGAGGGGAGACCTCATTGCCTTCTACAACTACCTGAAAGGAGGTTGTAGGGAGGTGGGTGTTGGCCTCTTCTCCCAAGTAAAGAACGATAGGACCAGAGGAGATGGCCTGAAGTTGCACCAGGGGAGGTTTAGATTAGATATTGGGAAAAAATTCATTACTGAAAGAGTGACAGACACTGGAACAGGCTGCCCAGGGAGGTGGTGGAATCACCATCCCTGGACATATTCAAGAAACATGTAGATGTGGCACTTCAGGACATGCTCTAGTGGCTGAGGTTGTGGAGTTTTGTGGGGTTGTTTTCTTTTGGGTTTGGGTTTTTTTTCTGTTGATGGTTGGACTCAGTGATCTTTGAGGTCCTTTCCAACCATGACAATTCTGTGATTCTGTGAACTGAGCTCTGCCACACACCTATATTCTCCAGAATGTTCTCAACTCTCAGTTTCAATTTGCTAGCCAAAGTCAAGATTCAAGGTACTACCAAATAAAAATAAATAATCTAATCCTTTAGCCTTAATGAAGGCACCATTTACCACCCACCATTGTGGGGTGAAAAGAAAATTATAAATTGCTGATAAGAACATAAACATTTCTTTGACATTAACATCCAGATTTTTTTCCAGGGAGCAGTGGGACCCTGGAATAAAGATGTTGTGTTGTGCAATTATCACACTGAGGAGAAAAACTGTCTGAGGACAGCATTGATTGATGGCATTTGATCCCCCAAACTGCCTGCAGTTGTTATCTTGGGAGCATTCTGTAATGATTGTGCCAACCAGTGGTGCAGTTTAGTGATATGTTCCAATGCATTAAGACACTGAAGATCTTTGGAGCTGTCTGGAGAACTGATATAGAATGAAAAGAGAACATCTTAGCATACACTTTGATCATTTTTCCATGTTTTCTGTGGCTAAACTAGATTCCAGATCTCTTTACAGGAAAGTCACCACGCATCTTAGTGCACCTCTAGAAAGTCAGTGGACCCACTTTCTATAAAGTTGTGTGTATTTGTTGTTAATCTCCTGCAGCTTGAAGCAATTCTCATGTACTCAGAGTATTTAAGATCTGACTAGAACACAAACACTCATTAATCAGCCATTAAAGAATTGCCTGTTGGCTAAGTTTCCTGGAACTTGAATGGGAGGCCACCCCAACAGCCTTTGTTACTTGATCCACATCAGCAGTAATTCAATGTTCTCTCCCTGCAGATACTGTGCCAGAGGAAAGGCTATTTAATGTTGCCTTTGGACACTTTCTCCCCGATGTCTCTCTGGTGGCAATCACTATAGGAAATGTGCCATTTACCCCGAGGGAAGCCCAGCACCACAGGTTGAAGATTTACGAAACTCCCTTTTCTAACAGAACAAAAGGATTTATCCTGGAAGTCTCTTTTGATCACCCCTATGTTCTGAAAGAGGTAAGATACAGCAGGTCACTTCAGCAGCTGAGTGCAGCAGGTAGGGCAGTCCCTTTGCAGAACGTAGTCTGATTCTATTAACAGTTGTTGATTAGTCACTCTTTAAGGTGTCAGTGACTCTGAGCTCATCTGAATCAAGATAAGAAGCTCCTGTGTCCCCACCTTGCTCTCCCTAGGTCTCTAGGAGACAGGCAGCAGCACGTGTGATTTGATGGCATGAAACAAAGCTTCCTTAGGTGTCTGTCAGCACACCCAGCATGGGAGCAGTTTGTCAAATCTCTCTTAAATGCTGTCCCTTGAAACAGGAGTGCCTTGGAAAAACAAATCAGTTCCTGCAACCATGCAAACACCAGTTACCAACACCCAGTCATTCCTGAGCAATTTCTGAGTTGGTGCAGAGCCATTTGACCACTGGTCCAGGCCATGCACCCTGCGAGTGTGCACGGGGGATTGGAAATGTAGTTTTGTTAAGCTTCAGACCCTTTGCAGTCTAAATATTTGTGAAAAGTATAAACTCACAGAGGGAATTCAACCCCTCGTGTCAGAGGGAGGATGCATAACTGCAAGTCCTCTGCCATCCTGTGATGCTATTTTCTGTCACAAGAAACAACATTGTGAACGCACAGGATGAGGACTTGTACAAATAGTTCCAGGCTGCAGTCAAACCACAAGTAAATTGCATTAAGGATCAAAGTGAGCCAAAAAATTTCTTTCAGGTTGAGCAGCAGGTTTTGCTTTGGGAGCACTTTTAGTGAAGTAAATGAGGGGATCTCTCAGAGCATCTCCTCACACCTCCTGTTTTACCGACCACTTACTCTCCTGGGCTCAGCCCACACTCGGAGGAAAGAAGAATAAGGAGTGGGACCTTGATCTCCCCCTGTGAGCTCTTTCACCAGAGGGCTACAGAGGAAACACCACTGTGTTCACTGCTGTCTCCATTTTCTGAACAGGCACTACATTCTCCACATTTATGTTTGGCTGAAAGAGCTGCTGAATCCAGTCCAGATCTCTGAATAAGTTTCAGGCCAACCGAAGCGATGTTTTTGGAGGCCGAGCTATTTGCAGGGGAGAGGAGGGTGTTGGAATAATTATTTACTGCTGCTCAGGATATACATGCCTGTCTGTTTTGGAAGCCATTGCTACTGCAGCTTTATTCTTCTCTCTCTTTCAGTATGTGAATAGAAATGAAACAATATACACCCTCCTCATTAACTACACGCTGAGTGTGGGCCCGGAGATGACACTCTATTATCATTTGGCACAGGTGGAGTGTGTGGTTGCTGATATTGGTAAGGTTACCCCTGATATTACCTGGTTTGCATCACAAGCATGGATCAGGTTTTCATCGACTTCAGTGAGAACAGCACTAGACTGAGGATGAGAGCTTTGGGGAAAACCCCACCCTCCAATAGCTCATTCTTGGTAACACAGCCAACATGCTGCTTTTCTGATGGCAGCTCTTCTGCATACTGGCAAGACAGTCTGCCCTCGAGACACTGGGAGCAATAAAAATTAGTGTGTAGAAGGAGCTGGCTTGCCAACTCAGAGAACAAGATGCCTCATAACTTGAACATACATCTGCTGGCAAAACTTTCAGACACTGCTACAAGTTTCAGTTTGTCCTCAAATGCAATTCTGCCTCTGTGTCCAGGGCAGAACTCAACTGACTCAAGCACGTTGCTGTGAAGTCCAAAGACAGCATTTCTGTGAGGAGACAATCAGCCACTAAGAGCTGTGGTTAGCAGGTTATTTGAGCAGTCATGAAGTTTGATTGGTATTTTCTCAAACGTCTTAGATTTTGGATGCCACAAAGGTGACAATCTCCTGACTGTGCTGTTTTAGCTTTGAAATAGCTCTGGGCTTAACCCAAAGAAGACTGACCAAAATTATCCATTTACCTACATAGCTCAGCTTGCCTTACTAAAACAGGGAGTAGTCCTGGAAGCAAGCTGGCAGGCCACTGCTAAAGCACAATGATTCCCAGTCCCACTGGTGGTGAAGTGCTCCATCCACAGCACAGCCAAAGCCCTGCAAGGGGATGCCAGCATGCACATAGCAGAGCTGCTGCAGAGCCAGTGCCAAATTATCCATGACAGAAATCCACGCCTGGGTCAAACATCATGTCTCTAACCTTCCTTCATTGCTAACTCTTCATCACGCCTTCTTCCTGCAGAACTACCAGAAGCAGTTGGTTACTGTGATGAGGAAAACCTGTATCTAGCCATCCCTGCTTTTGGCTTGCACCAGTATTGGAACCTCTATCTTGGTAACAAGCTCCTGAACCGGCACATTGCCCTTACCAATGGGTATCTTGCAGCTACCAACTCCACACACCTGATCTTGCAAATACCTCTGTTTGCTGTGGGAATCATTTATGAGGTACATGGGACCTTACAGCAGCCCTTTGAAGGACATAGGACTCTTTGCTCAGACAGCCAGAGTCACAGTTTGTAGTGCTGTAGTTTTACACATCCAGGAATCTAAGGCAGTGCAAGGAGGACAAGAGGCATCAGACATGGACCCTTGTGGTAATGCCATCTCTTATGCAACCTGCAGGGCTCAGCTGTCTGTAAAAGATAAGTACCAGGTCTTCACAAACAAAGTCCTCAGGATTTTTAGTAAGATGAGGCAAAATGTCCCATCTGCACTGGGCCAGAAACAATTATTTCAATACAGCTTTTATGAAGGAAGCTCTTTTAAAAAGAATGTTTTGTAGAAATGTTAAGACATGGCAGGGGGAAATTGATGCTGTAAGAAACATCCAAACTATTCTACAATAATCAGCCAAAAAATATCTCTGTGACAGTGATCAATCAATTCATAGAAGAAAACTTCTTCCCCCATGTTGCATCAGGCTCAGGTTTTCACACTGAGTTAACTCTTGTGACTTGTTAGTATCCGAGAGGCACAAGGTAAAGAGCAGAACTTTGTGCATATGGATCACGTGCCTTAACAGGAGACCTCTTCCATCACCCCTTTCACAGGAAGTGTCCTTTCAGAAAATTAAAGCAAGGTTTGATGTTGCCCTAAGGAAAGTGAGAACTATGGAGACCTTACAGATGTTCTCCGTTAGCTGCAGTTTTAATCCATCATCATTTATAAGTAAGTTATACAACTGATCAATCGATACAAAGATCTGTGATTCTTTCCTCGAGTTTATCACCAACTCTCTGATTTTCTCAGTATGCCACCCAGATGGTACCATAATGGTATCTGCCCAAATGAAGACAGTTCCTGCCATTGATATGAGTAAAACCAAACTAAGGGATAGCTCCTGCAAGCCTAGAGAGTATAATGAAGAACATGCCTTCTTCAAGTTCCATGTCACTACCTGTGGCACTTCAGTAAGGGTAAGCGCTTAGATACATTTGCTGGAAGTTTCTCCCCCCTGTATTTCCTTTTTCCCCTGCCCCAGCTCCTGAGGAAGACTGAGTTTTTAATGAGCTTCCCATATTGCACAGGTGGAAGGTGATCACATTATTTATGAAAACGAAATCTCTTATGAGAAAGAGACTCTTCCAAGACAGAGCACAGCAACAATCACAAGAGATCCAGACTACAGGTAGGAGTTCCTTGCTCATTGACATGGCTCACTTTGGTACAACTGCTAGAAAGTGGAAGTGAACACAAAAATGACCCTTTCTCCTCTTAACAGACTAACAGTCTTGTGCTACTATCGAGCCAAAGAGACCCTGGTGCTTGGTGCCTTTCCTAGTGATCCATCCACCTCACCTCCCTTTGGCTCTGGCACCATGGTACCAAGATCCAACCTTGCAGGTAGGCAATTCTCCTCCTCCACTTCTAAACTTCTGTGACTCTTCCAGTTTTAAACTCAACTGTTAAGACATGCCCTGCTTCCCACTAAAGAAACTCCCTAATATTTCCCTTCCTGAAGTAAACAGAAGGGCGAGACAAACCCTGAGTGCAGTTTCAAGAGTGTCCAAAGGTAAGTCTCCTCCTAAAAAAACCCAGAAAATTTCCAAGCAAATTCTATTTTAAGTAAAATTAAACAACAACAAAATCCCCTGATGTTTTCTTGAGATGAAACTTTCATGGAATTCTACAAGCCCAACATGGCAATACTCAAGAGACCTGTGGAGCCTGTGTTTCTCGAGGTGGAGCTGAAAGATGAAAGCCCCAACACTGAGTTATACCTGGAAAACTGCTGGGTAACCAGGTCTCTAGACTTCAACAGCACTCCAAGATGGAACATCACTGTGGATGGGCAAGTAGTCATTGAATTACCAATATGCTCATCAGCAAAGCCTTCGTTTCTTCTAGTTCTGTTGATCTCCTCTCTCAAATAGGTGTGAGATTAACGGCAGTGAGTACATTGCAGAATTCTCTCCGGTAGCTGTTAGCCCCAGGGTGAGACATCCTCCTCATTTTAAAAGGCTGGCAGTGAGGAGCCTGGCACAACCACTGGAACAGGTAAGATGAAGTGAAAGGGTCCCCTCCTGCTCAGGGACCCTATCCTCTGAACTTCTTAAGATCATTTTTAAAATAGCTGAGTTAGACACCTCACAGACTTAAGACCTGGCCAGAGTTCAGCCCAAGTAGCCTGACTGGTGCATGGCTTTAATTTAGTTCTCTTCTCAAATCTACTCTGTGACACAGTTTTAGTGACTTCAGATTGGACTGGTTGGAGTAAACAAAAGAGTTTGGTCGGTAAATATGATTTTTATCTGGTGTTTCTGACTTTGTATTAGATCAGATTTGTAGCACTTAAGCTCAAATGTCTAGAACAGTAAAGACAACTTTTATACACTATAATATCCACATGAAGTTCAGCTCTGTTGTCTCACATCTGTCCCAGCCAGTCAACAATCTCCTCAGATGCCAGCCCAATGGGCAGAGAAACAGAAACCTGTGAGTTTGGTCTTACACTTTTGAGGTTCTGTCCTCCTTCAACAGGTCTAAGAAGAGCAAAGAAAACCCAGGAGAGTCACCTGAGGGTGCTCTGCTCCTACTGCACCCAGCTGAGTGGACTCTGGCACGTGTACTGATAGAAGCCTTAGCAGTACCCCTGCCTGGGCAGCTTAAGTAACTACATAATTTTTTTACTTGGCCTTTCCTAAGCAGTTCAACCCATGAACTTGTTAGACAAAAACATGATGTGATTCTGGCTTGTGCTGCTTCCTAAGTGTGCAGCTACATCAAGCACTAGATGCAGTTTCTGTACAGCTTTTGATAGATCATCTCACTGCAGCTCGTGAGGTTTTAACTTCTCCTGTTACCTCCCAGTTACCAAACTGCCTGAGGGCTTCTTTGACACCAAATTTGATATTCAAGGCAGGTTCTGCTAGAAGGTGCCACAGGCAAGTGTTCACACAAGCCTAAGTCTAATCAGCTGCAGCCTGCAAAAGGCAGGCAGAAGACAAAAGGGTGCTCTGCAAAGCAGGATTTGATATGGACCAAGTGGCACTTTTTCTTCTCAGGTCTATGTGCACTGTTTGGTGGCAGCATGCCCTCCTACCAACATACCACCTGGCAGCCCCTGCAGAGGAGAGTGCAGCTCAAGCAGAAAGAGGAAGGGTAGGTGTTCAGGAGAACAAGAACCATTGCAAAGTACTCCTGATCTGATGTTTTTAAAGAGATTTAGGACCTTGGGTTTTGGCATCTGAAATGGCTCGAACATGGACTGTGTAAGGGCACCTTTAGCGCACACTTTAACACCTTAGCACCCCCTGTGCAGTGTGCATGTGTTCTTTACAAACTGCACACACACCCTGTGTGTCATTCTCAGCTTTTCCAGGTCACTCTTCAGCCAGTCTCCAGGGCTACGTCCGTGCTGGACCAATCTGGATTGTTGATCCAGATGGAAGATGACGAATGTAAACTGGATCTGGTAAGCACATCAGGCCCCGAGTACTCACCTGGAGAGGTCACCATGCCCTGTGGCACAGGCCTTAGACCAGACCTTAGAACTGTAAGCTCTGGGACAAGAACTAGGGAACAGAAGGAATTTGAAGTCTAAGCATGAGCTTGTAAGAGAGGGAGGAAGGAGAGGTACCTGCCAAGCCAAACACAGGTGGCATGGCTCTGGAGGAGATGCCAGCAGTAGAGCAGGGCATGCTGGAGTTGGGCTGTAGCAGGCAGGTTTGGAACCAGATACTATTTCAACAGGTTTTCAACTGGATTTCCCCCCGTCTGAAAGCAAATGGATCCAAAATGTTAGAAAACAAACAGTACAAATCACTGCCACATTCCAAATTGTTTTGAAGGGCCCACGTCCTCCAAACTGCTACAGTTTACCCTGTAACTTCATCTGCTATTGGAGAACCAGATCTCCAGCCTCCCTCCTCACTTCACTGTTTGTGTGTCTCCAACAGCACCCAAAGGCTCTGCTGTGCTGACTGCTTTCTAAATAGTGCAACTAGGCACAGGAGCTAACTCTTTTAGTGACCACAACTATCTTGCATGAAGAGACCAGACAGGCCTCAGGACATCACCACAGCACCACAGAGTGCTAATCCTGCTCACAGGACTAGGAAATCTAGTAACCTGTAACCTCTCTCTGAAGTGGCTAAAAAAGAAAACAGAAAACAACCCAGGACTGCAAAATAACACTTCTTGTCTCTTCCAGCTGTTGACATATGGACTTACAGCTCTGATTATGGCTGCTTCTTGTAATACTTCATAAAGTGGCTGCTAATCCTCCCATGTGAATGCAAAGTGTAAACCTGAAAAGTCAAATAAAAATACATACAAAGTAATGTCAGTGCAGAACATCTCCTTGCTACCGAGCAACAACCACCATCTGGTGTATCAACCTTGGCTTCAAAGAGCCAAGCAATCTGCTACTCATGAATGCAAAGTAAACCTGAAAAGAATAAAAAAACATACAAAGTAATGTCAGCAGTGAACATCTCCTTGCTACCGAGCAACAACCACCATCTGGTGTATCAACCTTGGCTTCAAAGAGCCAAGCAATCTGCTACTCAGGGCCTCTTCCACATGCAACACAAAGGCACCTTTTTTTCCACCTTTCGTGTAGATTTTTTGTCTACAACATTGCATCTCTGAAACCTGTCAGTTCCTCACCTTCCTCTCACCTGCCCCTGCATGGAAAAAGCTAACTCGACACCACGGGAGAGGGCAGATGCTCAAAGGTGAGTAGAAAGGACAACTTACCTGGAATCTTGTTTTCTGTGGCCACAGAAAGCCTTTTTTTACAGGACCACCTGTGTCCACTCTGAGGAGGTGCCTGTGGTGTAAGTGCAGGCGTGGCTGCAGCAGCAGAGGGTGCTGAGCAGCAGTGAGGAGGGGGCAGCATCTCTGCTGCTCTCCAGTACTGAAGGGCTAAGTTTTGTGGAAAGGGAGAGCGCTGGGATGCCAAGACCCCCCCCCAGCAGCGGGAGGGGAAGATGCCTTCCTCTCTGCTGTATGAGCAGTGCTCTCTGCTGCCCGCAGCCAACACTGCAGCCGAGCCCCCTCCCTGCTCCCACAGCCTTTCCAAGAGATCACATTCCCCCTTTTTAATGCGAACAGTAACAAACTCGTCCGTTTAGGAAAACGCTTGAAAGTTGTGAACTGGGGTGAAGGTTAAATAATGATGACAAAATGCTGGCTCTTCTACCAGAGCTCACAAGACACTGCCTAGTTCACCCAGGCGAGACCAGGACTGGGATGTCACTGAAGTTTCATCACTCTGCAGTCTAGCAGAGTAGATCCAGGTATACTTGTCTGCAGCAGGTGGAATATCCCAGATCTTTCCCTCTTGCTCTGAAAAGCCAAGCATGGGTCCAGCAGTGCTCCATACCCATCCACCCCACTACCCAGCAAACAGGGAGACCTGGGAGTGAAAGGAATAAAGTGAGACAGAGTGCTTTCCGATTTCAACAGGGATTTCAGGTTCCCACCTCCTCACAGACAAGCCAGAGAATTTCCACATCCTTGGCTTCCTCCCCCTTGGCTGCAGTTCAGGGCAGATGATGGTTTTTACACTGAGTCACACGAGTGTGTTTGGGTTAGCTGAGCTTGATTGATACATTCCCCACCAAACTTGAATAGAGCACCTTTCACTACCAATTTACTTTTTACCAAGGTTACCTACTGAAAGGACAGTGCACAGTGCAGTCCTCAGCTGTGACAGCCACAGACCTTCAGGTTTCTAACACTAACTTACCTCTGGTGTCCAGTCAGAAAAGCACATGGAAGAGGAACACATGCTGGGCACTTGACAGCCCAGCCTTTTCCCCTCAACACGCCACAGCTTTCCTTGGCCCTCCTTGTTCCCCACACTGCATCTCACACTAAACATCTGTGAAACATCCCTCATGCTGCTCTGTGCCCTGCTAAGCTGGGATTTTGTCAGCTTTTCCCACCTTTCTGCAAAAGCCAGGGGAAGGCCTTGCAATGCTGCAAGTGGTGTGACAACTCCTCCTCCTGTGTCAGCAGCAGGACAAGCAGGGCACTAGGGAAAAGCACAGGGCGATGATGTTATTGTCTTGTTCAATCAGCAAGTAAGATCTTGGAGACTTGTTCCAGTACTGAATGAAAAAAACAAAACAAAACAACAAACCCATTCTGTAATGTCCTGAGGAAATGATGTGGTTTTTGTAAGCTTCGAGCTGAATCACCAGGTGAGAACCCTGTAACTCCTTGCATAATTAATCCCAGCTACAGGGAACACACTAACATTCACCCTGAGGGCTCCAGCATGAAGGAGGGTGCCAGAGGAAGCTGTGTGAAGGAAGGAGCACAAGGGCTCTGGGAGAGGTTTATAGGCAGGAAACCTTGGGAAAGAGGCTGTGAATTATTCATGTCTGAAACATTTCTGGCCAGAGGAAAGAGGCAGGAGACACACATGAGCAGCAAGCACCTGCTGGACTTGCTGGTGCAGTTCCATAACTGGGACCAGCAACCACTCGGTGAGGCTGAGGGAGCAGGGCAACCAGGAGTGACCCAGACCCTCTACACAGGTTTGTCATTTCCTAGCAGGGACAACCCCTGAAGCCCATGGCAGGTGCAAACCACAGCACTTCTGCACTGCCAAGCATCCAAAGCACGCAACCCCTGCTCCTTTGACAAGCTGAGAGGCCATCTGAATTTCACGTGGGAACATCACATAAAATTAATTTTAACTACTCTCCATGAAGACTTTTAATTTGTTAAAGGATTATGAAGAGGAAAAACTGCAGGACAAGGGGAGGTTACTAAAGACATCTTCAACTCTGGGCTTTTTTTTATATCAGTAACAGGGGGTTATACCCTTTCAACAGGCCTGAGTGGAAGAACACCACAAAATGCTGTTTATTTCATCACTTCAGACCAAAAACTCCAACTGGTTTTGTGATGGAAAGCCAGAGAACTGAGTGACTCATGCGTGCATGTGAAAGGGGAAAATGTGAGCACCCTTCTGGTCAAAATTACCTTGAAAGAAATCCAGTTCTTGCCGAAATGCACCAGGACATTTCATCTTTTTACAGGAGAGACAAGGAACTGCTGTGGAGGATCTGCTCTAAAACTGCTCCCAGTCCAGTGAAATATTTATGTGCCAACAATGAATGCATCAGAAGCAACAGCAACATTCACAAAACAACACAAGCTGGGAAGTAGGAAGGATATTTTAAATAGCATCTTTGTTTTCCACAATACTTATTTGCTGCTCACCTTTTTTAGCTGCATCCTGTCATTTAAAGTGTTCTGTGCAGAACATCTGAAGTGCCTCCTCTCAAAGTAAAACCTTGTGGGCTTTCAACTGCTCATCCTGTCTTGTTAATGTTCTTAGCATGGTAAGCCAGGAAGAGGTTCTAGCTCACCTTCTCACCATCAACCAAGAGCTGGCAGGAGTTCTCCATTTTTAAGATGAAGGCAGCTTGAAACATGCCAGCTCCTTCAGTGGTCAATGTTGTTTCAGAGACAGAGCACTAAGACATAAAAACAGAAGCCAAACACGTACTTCGTGTATCCAGGCAAGTTGAACTTTTTCAAAAAAACTGTCAGTTATGACACCACAACCTGCTTTCCAAACTGCAAATAATTCCATCCAGCCAAAATTGCTGCTATCAAGTGCCATGGAGCATGAGGTCCATGCAGCATTTTTCAGCCCTGTGCTCTGAATTTGCTCATTGTGGCTGTTGCAGCTTTACCCCAAAGCAGGAGGAGATCTCAGCAAGGCTCCTGGGGAAGATGTTCTCATGATTTATGCCTAAGGACTTTCAGAGAGCCCTGCACTTGTGCAGGCTCCTGGATCATCCACGGACAAACTCACCAGAAGCAGAACTGTCATTAGCATAATTTATTATTAAAAAATCCTAATGCTCATGTGGGCAATCAAAGGAGTCTTTTATTGTAACTTGCATTGCTGTGAACGTGTCAGGATGTTTCTTATCAATGATTTCTAGATTTCAGCAACACTCTTCCCTACCTTGTGAGAAGTGAAGCTGCCCAGATACTCACAGCCAGTTCAATCAGATTGACTTCACACTGTAGTTTTTTAAAAATCCACCTTTTCATTAAAAAGGAGAAAGCCACAAATCCTACTGTTCATACCCAACAACATCCTCTGTCATAAGCTCTTTACAATCATGAAATTAAAAAGCACACATTCATTTTTATTCATTCAGTTATTGATCTGTGCAACACTTCTACAATGGGATTACAAATAATTATTACCTCTTCCTACCTGTTTAGGGAATTTGCAACTACTCCTGGGAGTGAATGAGCATAGGAAGAACTGAATTCTTAACACCACATTCCTCCTGCAAGTCTCACTGTTTCTGTTAAGTGGTTTTCATATAAACACTCCAAAGTGGGGAAAAACTAGTCACCACAGCATCTCAAGGGGAACACTTCATCATTAACAACTGCACTGCCAGCTTCTATCCAACATACATTAAAATGTGGACAAACACTACTATAAGTAAATCATTGTACTTCTCACAAGCTCCCATATAAAGTATTTAAATGTTTTATATAGTTTTTCTCCCCCACGAAAACCTGTTTACAACAATCTGTAAGAGTACAGCAACAGTTTCAACAGAACTACAGACTTCACTTGCTGTTAACTGAACTTCCCACACCTTTACCAGCACAAAATCTGTACAAGTATCTCACAGAGATCTGACATGAGCGTTTTCCTCAACACTAATGAAAACCAAAAATAGTTCATTCTTCCGTTGTTGGCTCATTTGCCCAGGAATGAGGTTTCTTCAGTAAGACAACAGAGGTAAATGATCCTGTGTTTTACCCATGGATTTGGAAAATGAGGTGTTTAGCACAAACACTCCCACCCCGTTAGCTGCATTTTTCAATAACCTCGCTTCTGTTTTGCTTCCTTGTCAAGAACAGCCTGTTTCAGACACAGCGCAGCGTCTTCAAACTGGGGGTTTAACTCTAACACCTTCCTGAAATCTTCCACGGCCTCGTCGAAGCATCCTGTCCCAAAAAAAACCCCCAAACAAACAAAAAAACAACACAACAAAAATAAACACAACAGGAAGGAAGTGTTATCTCTGTGTAACTGCCCCAAAGCACAACTGAATGAGGCCTAATGATGCTTTCACTCACAAGGAGCAGCAGCTCTACTCAGGGGACCCACACCTGGATTCTCCACAGGCCCCAGCAGGCCTCAAAGGCCTTCAGAGAAAAAAAAAAACCCAAACAAACAAAAAAAACACAACAAAAATAAAACACAACAGGAAGGAAGTGTTATCTCTGTGTAACTGCCCCAAACTACAGCTGAATGAGGCCTAATGATGCTTTCACTCACAAGGAGCAGCAGCTCTGTACTCAGGGGACCCACACCTGGACTCTCCACAGGCCCAAGCAGGCCTCAAAGGCCTTCAGAGAAGGGCCCGGGCGCCTATTTTTGCACATAAAACCGCCTTCAGGCCCAACCCAGCCAGCTCACCCGGAGGGAAGGAGCCGAAAGGCCCAGCCGGGCTGCCCCAAACCCGGCACACAACCCCTCACCCCCCGGTTCCCCCGTACCCAGGCGGTACAGCACCAGCCCGCGGTTGTAGTAGGGCACCTCGAAGCCGG